TGCTAAGGGGTCGAGGTGGAAAAAGTTTAAGAAAGCCTGGACTAGGCGACATCTGAGGTACCTTCCACCTCTAGAGCTATTATCCTATCATTGGAAGGGGAAAGAATGGAATAGGTTGCAATAATTCAGTTAGATAGTAATAAAGACCTATAATAAGGTGGTAGTAATGGTAATAGAAAGGCTAGAATGGAAGACAGAAAACTTTCATGACAGATTACCCATGACTTGGTAATTGATTATCTATGAAAAGTGAGGGAGAAAATTTTGAATATGGGAGGCCAGGTAATTGGTGGTAACATCCATAGAGATGGTGTGGTCGGGAGGAGGAACAGGGGTAAAGAGAAATAAGCTCAGTTTAGGACAAGCTTAGTTTTAGGCACTGGTGAGATAGCCATATAGATATATTGCAAACAACGGGGGACAGGGGTCTCGAGCTTATACATAAATAGATTTAAGAGTCAACAGCCTAGAGCCACTAGTTGAAGCTTTTGAGGTGAATTAGTTCACCATGGGAGTATAGAGAGGGATGAGAATAGGACAGAGGACAGGTCCCTGAGGAGCATCTGCATTAAGATACCAGAAAGATCACAAGGAGCCAACAAAGAGGACAAAAGAGCAGAGAGGCCAAAAACCAAGAGAATGTGGTAATCTCTAAAGGTAGAGGAGAGGGAGTTTCTAATAGGAAAGGGGAGGGGGGCTAAACAACGTCAAAAGCTGCAAAGCGGTGAATGAGGCTAAGAACCAGAAAAAGTCCAATGGAGGAAAACGCATTGCGTAATTGTCTTTGATTGATTGGGAAGCAAAAGTTCTGAGTTCAATTCTGGCTCTCCTTACTCATTTACCTATACAACCTTGACAAATGACAACCTCCCTGGACCTTGGTTTCCTCATTTTAAAAAAAATTTTATTTATTTTTTTAAGGCAGTTGGGGTTAAGTGACTTGCCCAGGGTCACACAGCTAGGAAGTGTCAAGTGTTTGGTATGAGACCGGATTTGAACTCAGGTCCTCCTGACTCCAGGGCCAATGTTCTATCCACTATGCCACCTAGGTGCCCCTCCTCATTTTTTTAAATGAAAAGAGTTGGACTATATGATCTCTATGGTTCCTTATCAAATCAAATCTTATGATCCTATGATTTAGCAATTAGGAAGTCACTGATAAGCTCTTTCAACGAGCAATAGAGGCAGAAGCCAGTTTGCAAGAGGCTGGAGAAAGAATGAATGGTAAAGAAATGAAGAAACCTAAGATACAAAACTTTTTCAATTAAGTTTAGCAGTGAAGAGAAATGGGCGCTGATATACTGGAAGGGTTAATGGAAGGATATTTTTGTATTGGTCATGGCTGAGAGTGTTTGTTAACAGAGGTAAAGGGGCCAATAGAAGACAAGATGGAAAGAGATCAAGAACACAGGTACAGGAATTATTCTAAATAAGGAATAAGGGTTACATATCCTGCTCATAGAGGGAAGGAGCAAAAATGTATAAAGAAGCTGAAAAGCTTTGAGCAGCAAAGAAAGGTTTACTATTCTGCTAGCAGACCTTCCCAAATTCTTCCCCTCCCTTGACCCTAGCATTGCAAAAGGAGAATGCCTCATTCCTCTAGTGTGACAGCTGTCACAGGAAAGAACCATCTTTGTCATATGGCCAGGAGGTTTTAGGTTCCAATTCTGACACCCAGATCTCATGTCCCTTAATTTTTCTATCTCAATTTCCTTGTTTTTAAAGGCTAGGGGACATCATTCAGAAATCAGGAAAGTATTTTGAGACAAAATACAATTTTCTGATTCCTGATGTTTTTTCTGCCCTTATGTACACATACCTCACTGTCTTTCCTCAGAGAATCAAATTTCCCACCACAGTTCTTACTCCTGGTGCTTTCAAATAAATTTGAAAATGATGGACCATAAATTTGAGGCTACAGGAAAACATTAATAGAAATTATGTGTGTGTGTGTATATATATATATGTACGTATATATATATATATATGTATGTATGTATACACACACACATACATATATATAGAAATATATATGTATGTATACACACACACACCCCCACCTATATCTTGGGTCACTTTTAGCCTCTCTGAATTTTGGGTCTTAGGCCACAGAAAGCACCAAGTACAGTTATGATTTGGGGGGGAGGTTAGTGGAGTTCTGTGTAGAACATACACACACACACCCCCAAAACACAACCACTTCAAAAGTTGTTTGGTGGTTAAGTTTGGGTTAAGACAGGGATCCCAAAGACTAATACATTTTTTTGCACACTACTCTTTCACAAACACACACACACCCCTCTATGCTATGCCTCATCTGATTTGAAACACCTCAAGAGAGTATTACACACTAACTACAACTATATAAAAATGCATATAAATTATCAAAACTGGAAGGAAATTTAGAAAGATATGAAGTTCAGAGTTGAATAATCATTATGTGTCCTCCTCCCTCCATGAAACTGATTTAACTTCTTAATCCTAAAAAGATTCATAGTGCTCATTACGGCAAAAGTAGAAGATGTGCCCTCTCTCTTCTTACCAGGAAGAAAAGAAACCTCAGTGTTTTGGCCTGGCAAAGTTTCAGGAAGCAATCATGGAGGCAGGAAAGATATGGGCTAGAATTATATACCAGCCGTGAATAGTCAGAAGCATAGTCACACAAATTATCAACTAAAAGCTGTCCTAATTTTTTTTTTAAAAAAAAAAGCTATTTTAAGGTCTCTAAAGAAAAATCTACCTGAGACTTTGGACTAGATGACCTCTAGGATCTCACCCAGCCCTTAAAAAGGACAAACAACAACAAAATTCTAAGCGTTTTCCACAGCCTTCCAATCCCTTTGTTCAAGTGCACTATCAAACCTTCCTAACTATTTCCAGGTTTTCCCCTCCCCCCCAAAAAAATCTATGTTGTAACTGCTGTCTACACTGGTATAGGTGTGTCCTTGAAGCATCAACCCTCTCTTTAATTGACTGAGGCTTAAAATTTCTTAGCATGTTATCAGAATCACCCTTCCCAGCCAGCCAACACTTTTCAACCTATACTGACCAAGATACAGAATCTGAACCAGGGGCCTAGAAATGGAAAATTCTGAAACCAAGGACCCATCCTATAGCCAAGTTCCAAATACCTGAAACATGTACAAAAAACTATAAATATCTCAACCCTTGAACTTCACCTACAACCTAAGTAAACCGGCCTGCTTCCTGTTTTTTTTCTTTGTTTGTTTGCTGAAATCATTATGGCACTATAGAATTTAGATCTAGAAGGGGCCTTAGAGGTCATCCAGATCACTACCCCCTCCCCATTTTATATGTGAGAAAATTGAAGCCCAGAAAAGTGAAATTTATGTGCCCAAGGTCACACAGGTAGTGTCAGACCTGGCATCTAAGCTTCTTGATTCCAGTTTTATTAAGCTTTTGACTATGCCTCAATGTCTCTGTATTAGTAAAGAAATTGTGGTCTTTGGATTGAAAGTTCCTTGACTAAGGTAAAGCAGAAAACAGCACAGGTCTGGAAGACAGATCACCTAGGTTCAAGTAGCCCCTTAATGACATGTGACCTAACCTCTCAAAGTCCCAATTTCCTCACGTGTAAAATGGGGATGATTATACTTATCTCACAAGTCGTTGTGAAGATAATATATATGGTATGTAAAATATCAATGGAATATATAAATGCATGCTATTATTGCTGTTATCGCATCAGTGAAGGATCCTTGAATACCACCAAGAAATACCTCTGAAGCCCAGAGGTGTCTGGTGCAGAATTAAGAAATCACACCAGAGAAATCTCGATTTGTAGCCCGTTAGTTAGCTTTTGTCAGTTAGGTGCCACCCACGGCACATTCCTTAGAAAGCAAAGAATAAAACCCTGACTCTGGAAAAGAACTGTTACAGCTCAGGGCTGACTGACAGCCTCCCTATGTCCCCACTTAAGCTTTAATGAGAGTTCTCAGTATGCAAATATTGTCACCTCCCCCCCCAATAATGTCTGTAACATCTAAAATTTACACGTTCAGAAACAGTGGCTCCTTTTCATTTGACTTCAGCAACAGTTAAGTGCATTATTATTAACTCCCAGCACTTAGAATTGTTCACTCCAAACAGAAGCTTCGTTATTAATAGGCTATAAATCAAGGCCCTACCTGAAACTCGTTGTCACGGAAACTGTAACTTTAACCCTCCTCCACTCTGCTCCCCTCACCACCCACCAACCCCAAGATCCTGGGAGCTCTGCACTGTTCGTACCTAAGTTCTCGTTATTTCTCCGACTTTCTGCTATTTGTCTGGGTCAAGTCCTGGTCGGGGAGATGCAAATCGCAAGTATCTCCTGAGAGGTGCGTATTCTTTTAGGAAGAGTCGGGAGCTGGAGTAGGTGCAGAAGGGCTAGGGAGAACCAGTTGGTCAGGAGCCTTTTCCCTCTCCCGCTGCAGCCAGCCATGCACAGAGTGTGGTGCCCCCCAGGGCCTGCCACCCTATTACACTGTTCTCTCTTTACTGGGCGTCCTACGGTCCGGGAAGCGGGAATGCTAAGTTACACAGAAGCGGAGCTAATTGGCCCCAAGAGGATGAAAGCGGGGCGGGGGCAGGCAAGGAAGGGTCGGCAAAAGGGACTAGGAGGGTAGCTCGGAGGTTAGTGAGCACACAAAACACAACCCCGCCCGGGCTCCGGAGACTGCGAAGGACCCGCACCCAGACTGTGCCCTTCCCAGCTCCTCCCGCCCAGGGCTGTTAGACTCCAGGATCTGCGTCTCCAAAGCGCCTGGCTTGCTGGGAACCTCGGAAGCCCGTACCTCTCCCTGCACCCCAGGCTATTCGATGGAGCCACTGCCTCTGCCGCCCACGAGCCCCGGGCTCCGTCCCCCCCCCACTCCTTCCTTCAGGCCCCCAACGTTCCCGTCACGCGCCCCCATCGGGCCACAGCCCCGCGCGTTGCTTCCTCGCGCAATGGACTCCTCCTCCCGGGCTTCTAGTTCGTCCCTCCCAGTACTCCTCACCTGCACTTGGGCTGAAACTGCAGCCACCTAGAGCCCGGAGCAACAGCGGGGCAACTGGGGCGCAGAGGGAGGAGGGCAGCGCGGGGCTCCTGGCACAGCGGCCGCCGGGCGCCTGGTGCTGCCGAGCCACAGACCCGCCCAGAGATATAAATAACATTATCTGAGGAGGGACATTCCTGCCGGGGGACATCGCTGCTGCCGGGACCAGATAGTCCCGCGGTGGGGGCGGAGGAGGCGGAGCCACAGGCTCCCGCAGCGCAAGGCCCGGCCCCCGCCTACCCCCACCCACACCCGCCAATCACCCTCGCGAGGCCCCCGGGAGCACCTGCCTGGCCACGGTTTGGCCTCCCTCCTCCTCCCTCCCCTCCGGGATCCTAGGCCCTCCTTTAGGCCACCGACCCTTCCTCGCCTCTGGCCTCCAGCCTTGCATTTGAGTTGGGAGCGGGCAGAGCTTGAGAGAACCGCAGCGCTCGCATCCTTTCCACACATCCACCAACCGCGCGCTAGCCGTTCCCAAGAAGAGCCCCCTGCGGCGGGGAAAGATTGGGCTCCCTTGTTTGGGGCCTAATTCCTACGAGCCCTTGCCTAGACAGGGAAACTATGCAACCTTTCCTTCCCTTACTTATAATCCAGTTGCATTTAAAAAAAAAAGTGACTTCTCTGCTCCCTCAAACCAGGCACTTGCTCCCTGACAGTTCTTGGCCCAGCATGGCAGCTGAGTAAGGATACCCTGGGATTGGCCGCTTCTTCTGTGTTTTGTTATTTTTTGTTTTCCAAACCACTGGGGCTGATTTCTCTGGGGCAATAGAATCTTGGTGTTAAGGAGGTACCTGGAGTCATTGACCCAGAGGCAATCTAGCTATCCTTTGTCCTTCCCTAGCTCAGAGGCGGGAAAAGGCTCAGTGTTACTGTGTCTATGCAAACCTGATGTATTTGGGAGAACCGTGCCATGCTGCCAATGCAAAGCCTGCAATCCCGTAGTGATCACACAGTGCAATGACGATAATCAACAGACATGCACCACAGGCGACTCCTGGCTGGCTGGCTCCTGGTCTGAGAACGGGATCTGATGCTTCATAAAAACTCAATTCTGCTCCTAGGGTTTGGTAGGAAAGGGCCAGACAGCTAGAGGAGAAACTAGAGCAGTAGATGCTGTCAAAGCAGACAGAGAAGAGCCTGCAATAGATTGAGACCAAGAGGAGAGGTCTCAAAGCCTGCCTTAGTAAAGTCACGATTTTCTATGCTTAATGTATCAGGACCTCAGGAGCTCAAAAGATGTTTGTTGATAAGGCTTAGCATGCATTACCCCATTGTCCCTTTCACCTCGATTCCTCTACACCTGAGCCCAAGAATGGTTTCTCACTTTCCCTGTCACTTTGACTTGAGAATCACAGGTATTATAAGAATTGGCAGTTGAGACGAAAAGCGTATGCTTATTGAAGAGTTTTAGCTATTACAAAGTCCTCCCAGTATTCACGATAGAACATAGACCAATCTGAGTTATTTACTTGAGTGCAATTATGCTGTTTTCCAACCTTCCTCAGGGAAAAGCGTCTTACCAATCAATGAACAAGCACTTACAGATTTCAGAACTGTAGCGAGATCCTGAAGATTATTTTTAGTCCAAACCCTTCACTTGCAGTTGAGGAAATTGTGGCCCAGAGCAATTTGGCCATGGTATAAGATTAATTTGTCTTAGAGGCATGAATAAAACTTATCTCCAGACTGAACAATATGCTCTTTCCTCTATACCATTCACTCTCTTGCTTATTTGCCAGGTGTGAAAGACAGCTAGTTTATATGTTGAAAATGAGCAAAAACATTCTGCGAGACTGCTACATTCTCACATTGTGGTGAGAATCAGACACAGAACCATGCTGAGAGTATGACAACTTTGGCAGATACTGTAGGACCAAAGGACTATCTCTGCCATAAGTAATACCAGTGTTACTTTCTCTGAGTCTTTCTATAACCACATCTCTCAAAAGACAGCAGCTAAAATAAGAAAGAGGTTTCACAAGTGTCATTGACATTACCATATCCTCTGCCCTCTTATGAGCTATAACTAGGATGGAGAAACCCTAACTTTGTCACTGAAATTTAGAGAATGCTGAGAACATCTAAACTCCATCAGCAAGTAAACATTCATTTAGAATGTATTTATCAATAATAATTAGCTAAGCTAGGAAGCTACCAGATGGTCCACTTTCTCCAGCTCCCCACACCCTAGATTGAGCTTTTCCAAGATTCTGCTTCCTTCAGCTTCCTTCAGCTTCCTTCTGCTTCCCCAGCGGCAGCCTGAGTTAATGTTTAAGGTCTCTGTCTCCCCCAGCAAGGCCTTGTGTCCTGAGATCCAAGATCTCTCCTTAGGTCTCCCCTTCTCTTGCCACTCTATTTATCTTAAAAAGTTAATTTGTGGGAACTTTTAATGCTGCTTCTATAGATGAGAGTCTGGGGAAGGAGGTCTTGTGCTTGCCCCAAGTACCAGAATTGTTAGTTATAACTCTACTGGATCTGCTTCCCATCACTACAGCTGTGCACAACCCACTTTTGGTACAAAGTTAAGCATCCATTTGCTGTTTCTTGAGTTAGAAAATGAAAGGGGAGCTCTTCAATTTAAAAAAAATAACAAACATATTCTGTTAAGGAAAATAGGCCAACTTCAAAAGCAGAGACTGTTGTATGTCTTAAGTAGAAATCCTGATCTATTTTTGAAAGAAAAAATAGATGGAAATGATGTTATTAGTGATTGGAAAAACCTCCTATGAATACAGATACTAAATATATTCATGATCCTCCAACACTGTATCTATGTAGCTACAAAAGTACATACAATAAGAGACAGATAATTCCTTGGCCATAGGTTTGTTATTATACCAAATAGTTAAATACAATTTTTCCTCTTTGCCGTCTTAAAATTCATAATTTGCACCCACAAAGAAAAAATATCATAAAAGTCCCGAGCCCATGGACAAATTAACTCAAAGATGTTATGAACCGACTCAGCTGCTTTCACTCCCTCCACTTTAGCTGAAAGCTAAATAATTCAATGCAGCCTCATTTGCTACAGAGCCTGTCATAGTAACAGCATCCCCAAATGCTTTGCAGCTAATAGAGTTACAGTAAAATGATAAATCAGAGTGGAGAGAGAGGGTTTAGAAATACAGGAAAGGGTAAAGATTATTTTCAAATTAGATTAAAAGCCATTCCAAAACTCACTCATGAGTTTTCTACTAAAAACCAGTGACCTGAACCAAAGCACTCTATGAACCCCGAAGTGAAAAAAATAGACCAATTTGCTGAAATGTGAACTAAATTGAACCAAAATATTATTTTTAAACTGAAGATAATATGTTTTTGGTTAGCTTCTTTAAAAAAAAAAAGAACTTGCCAAATAAACCAGTTCAAATAAGATCCCAACTACATGTTATATTCAGAGACATTGAACCATAACTAGAGCACCAAAATATTCATCAATACAAAACCTAAATCTCACTGATGTTTCATTTTAAGTCGCTAGAAAGCTGGGAAACAATTTCTACAGCCAGTGTTTCTAATAAAGGCCTCATTTCTCAAATATATAGAGAACTGAGTCAAATTTATAAGAATACAAGTCATTCCTCAATTCATAAATGGTCAAAGGACATGAACAGTCAGTTTTCAGATGAAGAAATTAAAGCTATCTATAGTCGTATGAAAAATGTTCTAAATCACTATTGATTAGAGAAATGCACATCAAAATAACTCTGAGGTACCACCTCATACCTATCAGATTGGCTGATATGACAGAAAAGGAAAATGATAAATGTTGGAGGAGATGTGGGAAAATTGGACACAAATGCGTTGTTGGTGGAGTTGTGAACTGATCCAAACTGTTCTGGAGAACAATTTGGAACTATGCCCAAAGAGCAAACAAACTGTATGTCCTTTGATCCAGTAATACTGCTACTAGGTCTGTATCCCAAAGAGATCATAAAAAAATGGGAAAGAACCCGTACGTACAAAAATATTTATAGTAGCTCTTTTTCTGGTGGCAAAGAATTGGAAATTAAGGGAATGCCTATCAACTGGGGAATGGCTGAACAAGTTGTGGTGTATGAATGTAATGGAATACTATTGTGCTATAAGAAATGATGAGCAGGTGGATTTCAGAAAAACCTGGAAAGATTTACATGAACTGATGCTGAGCAAAGTAAGCAGAACCAGGAGAACATTGTACACAGTAACAGCAACATTGTGCAATGATCAACTTTGATAGACTTAGCTCTTCTCAGCAATACAATGATACAACTCCAAAATACTCATGATGGAAAATGTTATTCACATCCAGACAAAGAACTGTGGAGTATGAATGTAGATTAAAGGATGCTATTTTCACTTTTTTTGTTGTTTTTCTTTCTCCTGGTTTTCCCCTTTTGTTCTGATTCTTTTTTTACAACATGGCTAATATGGAAATATGTTTAATATGATTGTACATGTATAACCTATATCAGATTGCTCTCCATCTTGGGGAGGGGGGAGGAGAGAGAGGGAGGGAGAAAAATTGGAGCTCAAAATCTTATAAAAGTGAATATTGGGGGGGAAGAAAAAAACTTTCTTCGGTTTTGACTTAGTTGGGCAATAGGGAGCTCAGTCTCATGGGGGCGGCAATCCCAGGGTCTTTCTCCTAAGGATGCAGAAAAGAAGAGCTTTTATAGTCCATTCTGCCCAGCCCAACCCAATATAAGTAATAGTTGACTGAATTATTTTAAAATGCTTTACAATAAAAGCCTTAATTAATGAGGGGGGGATTTTTTTAATCCTGCTATAAACAAGTAATGAGTCATAAACTGAGATTCATAAATAGGTAGGTACATTTCCATCCTTCCTCTAAGAACAATAATGGACATCTTCCCTTCCACTGTCCTCAAAAGCCGACTGACAGTAGTATCACTTCCCAAAACCTTCCGATGACAATATAGAGAAGCAAATGACAAGGGACCCTCTTCTCCTCCACTTCATTATATGGTCAAAAGAACTTGAAAGCTTGGCTTAGAGCCAAGAGGCTCTAAAATAATAATTTCCTTCCTAGTTCATCCATTTCAACATTCCCTCCACCAACAATAGAGAGGAGAACAAGGAACATGGAAGCCCTCTGCCATCCAATCTTCCATGATGCTTCTGGCAGGGTCTTGAAACTGCTGCCTTCAATAGCTATCTTTCTGCTTTTCTC